CACCGAAAGCAATCTCCGGAATAGCCTTGAGAGCCGAAGTGCATGCTGCCTGGATCCCCACTGTCGTCTTGATATGTCATCGGCCTTTTCAGGTAATTAAACAAAAAACAGACCGGGGCCATAACTTGGGATGCCGACCTTGGTTAGGTAGCTGTTTATAAGAAAGGCGGTGTAAGCCGGGGCGTTTTCGTGGTACAACTTCCAATCGGCTGCGATATCTTGTCCAATCCGATTGACCTTTCGTTTGAGTCCCTTTTAGACATCCACGTAAAACTTGGCGTGGACGATTTGTCCAGCAGAAACAAATTCATGATGGAAAACTGACAAGCCACTTGTTCGATAGCTAGGAACGCCCTCTACCGCATGCTGTCAGTGTTCATTCTCGGCAATACCTTTGTGACCGGTCACCCTGATAAGGTGCACTTGGTTACAATAGCCGTTCTATACACTCCTGCACCGGTAGCGTTTTGATCTCGTACGCAGAGATCGTTTTAAGTGCCGCTTGACTGTCGCTGAGTATGATTATACTTTCATTGCGATAGTTGCGTTCGCCTGCTATCCCTCGAGAGAAAAGATGTGATATTTCACCACTTAAGTCCTTCATGCGCTGTGTAGAGACTACCTTACCTCTGTCAAACCCTTCTGCTGCCATTTGAAAGAGTGGGCGTTTGCCTACCTAACCGATTACTAGGTGAAGCGGTGTGAGTTCCAGCATTACTTCAAGTGCCTTCGTCGGACATATGTGTATGGCCCCCGACAGGCAGATGCAGGCGAGTCGTTGCAGCTTTGATACTTGAAGTCCGACCGAAATCTGCAATTCTTTCGAGGCCCAAGCCATCATATGTGATAATTGGACGCACAATCATGGTTTACAACCACCTGCAGTCGCAGTCGCAGCTGTTTCGAGCTAGTCGATTGCAGACCATAAGTGCTTTACTAGCTTTGACCATGAATAATCATCTCTATCTCTCTGATCCCAAGGGTTAGGCTCCTGAGGGCGCGCAGGGACTTGCGTCTCGTAGACGGGACAATGGTATTCAGACCAAGCCCACGTGACGGATCTTCACGAAATTTCGCATGGATTACTTAAAGTAATAATATCATCTGCGAAAAAATTGTTCAGATCGGATTACTATAGCATATAGCTTCCGTATATACTGAACACATAGTTACTAAAAGAAATTCGTCTGAGGTTCAGTTAAATTTTTTCTCGTTTTTTCTAAATATTACCTATTTCTTGTCGGCAACTCAATAGTAAGTTATTTAATTTTTACTAAAATTTTTAAGAAATCACTTCTCACATGTTACTGTCACGAGCGCTTAAAGGCGCTGACAGTTAAACAATTTATAAACCTTCATTTTCCAATCACCTCAATTATAAGTGTGTAAATTGACCGCAAAAACTGGCAACTCATTAACCAATTATGGGGCAAGTGACAACTGTCGCAACATGAAATAACAAGCTATAAAGCGAATCACGTCAACGAAAGTGTATTCATACATACATATGTGTATTTATGTATAAGTACATATGTATGTACAACTAGCACTTCCTAAGTCAATAAAAATATTTTTGAAGAAAAGCAATTTAACCTGTACTTACAACACTCGTTTCTTGAGAAATCGAAAACGCTTGCCAGTAATGAACGGTAATATGTAATTAACACGATTAAAAAAACAAATTTCCATTTAAAAAAGTGCGCCCAAAAAGGTTTGTGCCAACAAGTAGCGACGAAATTCCGCAAGCACCTCAACCCCATTTCTCTTCCCCATACTACTCAGCCAAAGCGTTGCGCCCAAAATTTCTCAAGCCTTCTCCAAGTCACGTGCTTGCTTTCAGCGAAAAGTTTTTCATTCTTTACGATTCATACGTTCATACATTCATACGATATCAATTCATATTGAACGCTTTTGTGGTCACAAATCGTTTGCGAAGCCGTATTTTGAAAGAAAAAATCTTCAACCATTGAAATTGTTATTGTGGCATTCAAGTATACTTAAGCTTATAAACATTGTATGTATTTATGTAAGTGCGTTTCGATACTGCTCAATTCGCCGTAACTAATTTATTATGCTGGACAAACAACGTTCTACGCTGTCTTCCAAGGGCGCGTCAATGTGGGGCCAAGGAAGAACGTGCGAGTCTGAACTGAGGCACCGTCAGGAGTTGCATAATGTAAATGCAGTTTTCTGGAATTGTGCTGGTGGCAAATACTGTATATATGTATGTGTGCATTCCAACTTTGATTTCACCGCTGTTGGTGTGGTATGTTTTGGGAAATGTTGAAACATTTTTCCAAGTATTTTTTGTGAAATTTGACGACTTGTTTTCGTTAAATACATATTTTATATCGTCGAGTGCTGATTTCGGTTTTTATTCATTGAATTATAGTCGCCACCCAACTGGCGGTGTGTACTTGAAAGATCATAGTGTAATCTTCACCACAATTGGCCTCTTCTACTCTTATACTTGAAGCTTTCCTCTTTCGTATGTTACTACCCTCAACCGCAACGGATTCTATCAAATTAAAAGAGTAAGTCCCCTTTTTTCGAACAGCAAACTCATTATCGTCATAAAGTTCAGCTTTCCCTTTTTGGAGATATTTCACCACGGTACCGTACATTTGTTACCAAAGTAATATTTTTTGAAGTTAATAGTGAGTTTTTGGGTTCTGCTCAACTAGTCTATGTATTATATCCGATGTAGTACCGCCAATAAACATATATAAAACATATTTTTATTGAACCAACTACAACAATGGCAAACCTTGTCGTATTTACACAACATTTGGGTATAACTATCCGAAACGTAGCCAAATGGTATTCATTTTATATTCTGCGCGTGGGCAACTGTCCAGAACATTATTTGGCGCATAATTTTTGACGTGATAATAACAACGAAGCTCCTAAGTATGTCAAAAAAGTTTTACGAAGTCTCTTTATCATATCCTGAACAGGGTTACGTCGGAGACCCTATAAAATATATGTGACCTGGTCTACGGAAATGGGGCTTAGGTGTCAAAAAATCAATTTTCACTTTTTAGTTGATTCGGATGGAAGATGAGAGGCCTTTTTTTTAACAGCTGTTTCCCAGAAAACTAGTTTTTGCACGTTAGCTCCCTTTTCGTAGACCAGGTCACATATATGTATATGTATAAATGATCAACGGGACGAGCTGAGTCAACCCATCCATGGGCGGCGATGAAGCACCGCATTTACCACATTAGGTTCTGTGTTATTTTTTCTTGTTCCTCAAAACTTAAACTGCCGCTCCGTAGAACTAATTTTCAGACAATCGAAGAGATAAAATAAAATTCGCTGAATGAGCTGAACGCCATCCTAAAAAAGCGCTTAATAAAAGTGTATGAAAAGTGTTTTGCGGACTGGAAAAATTGTTGGCATAAGTGTATTACATCTGGTGGGAACTACTTTAAAGGCGACAAAATAAATATTGATGAATAACTAAATATTTTGCGCAAATTCCCAACAGAGCTTACATTATGTAACTTTCAGTATAGGATCGAAAAGAGATTTTTAATATAACAGATTGCCTCATCTAACGTTCATTATTTATCTCATCAAACCCTCTTCGGAGATAACATCTCCCCACCACTGTCAACAAATGCCAGTAAATAAATAATAATAGATAATATAAATATTGTTTACACGGGTACAGTGACTTTAAGTTAACCTCAAAGCTGCTTGCTGCTTGCTGCGGACACACAAGATCAGTTGAACGCGCTTTGAAGCAATAAACCACCAGCAACAAAAATAGTAAAACGTTAGGTAAACAAAGAGAGGCTAGGCAAACATCGAGGCAGGAGTATGTGACAGGAATTTTAAATACTCACTCACAATTCACAATTCTCAAATAAGTGGCAACATTTATGCTTACAAACGAGTTTCTGACGCGCTGAGACTAGCCGCTACTGTATAATATTATCCACTGTGGCGTAAGTGGATTGAGCGCAGTAAATAAGTAGTTCTTTGCCAAAGATCAATGCAAAGATCGCTGCTTACTTAGAACCCCAGCGAGCAAGATCTCATACAGACAAAGCAGCGGTGAACGTGCGCGGAATAAATTATGATTGAATGAAGAGGGAATTATAGTTAGAAAGTTACAAAGAAATTCTGGTACGTTGGTGGGAACGACGGGCAGGAAGTGCGGTGTGAGAGTACTGAAAAAAATAATATATATTTATGTGCTGCACGTGCGTAGAGGTCAGTGTCTAAGGATACTCGCTTGGACAAACGAAATTGTACAGTATTTTTCTATGCGCATAATGTAAGATAGGCTATGCAACTTTCCATATGCATTAGGGTGGCCCTTAAGTAAACGAAACGAATTCTTTTTCCAAACTGTGGGCTAATTTGTGTGATATATTCGACGAAATTTGTCGAAAGTTTGTCTTCCTATATTTAAGGATTACCCTAACTTGTAACCTATGCATATCCGATCCACAGTGTGACTTTGTACATAATTTTATGGTTATAAATTATTAGCCTGCGGTTGGCGCAAGCCTATATACACAGCCTGTATGCTGTGCAATTTCGTAAGCTTGCTATAGAATCATAAAAAAATTCAATGCATAGTTATCATGGTGCAGTTACAATGGCAATAAATAAATTTGTATCGCTTTACGACAGACTCCCCAGCGTGCAGAAAATACGCATTAGATAGTGAAAATTTATGGCCAACATCAAATCAGGCAAAATTTTATGAGCGCAGGTGTGTGGAGTTCATAAAAATGAAACGCGCATGAGCACAGGATGGAAGTAGCTGGTAATTAATATGATTGCATTTTGGTTAAGAGTTTTATGCGCCTATTATGGCAATCATAAGCCGTGTGATAGAAATTAATTGCCCACAATGATATCTACTCCTCATAATTTTTTCCCTTCTCACTCTTTAAGATTTTTATTTTTTAATTTGTTTTTATTGTTGCATGCAATTAAGCTTGTGTGAAGGAATTTATGCATATTTTGAAGCATTCACTCACCTTGATCGAGACGACGCTCCATACGCCGCCATTGCCGCATATGATGCACCAAAATGCCAGCGGCTATGATGAAGAAGATTAAGCACGCCAATACGGCCATAAAGAGCGCCATTGTCTGCCAATCCATCGGCATTGATCCGTCCTGCAATTGCTGTAATTCCTCGTGTGTCAACTGCTGCTCCAAATCATAGTTGTCCTCATCCTTTCGGCGCTAGAAAATGAAAATTTTTACTTTAGGGTTGAATATTGAGTCTATAATGGGGAGCTTAACAGCGAATAAAATTTTTCAGCGTTTCTAAAGGCAATATGCTAAGGTGTTGCAGGATTTTATGAAATGTTCAAAGGAAAAAATTCAAACTCTGTCACTACGTCAAATAATAGGTTTTTCAATAGGGTGCTAAAATAGTAGACCGATAGGGACAGCAAACGATGCTACATATTTCTACTCTTTGGCATTTCTCTTCAGTAAGGTTTGCATTTCATCATGGAAATATACGATCCTACAACGAGTTGAAATAATTAAAATTTACTGCCGAAATTCGGAGTCAGTGGCCTCAACTTTAAAAGCGCTACGTCCAATTTATGGTCGTTCTGTCCTGTCAGATCAAGAATTAAAAACTTGAGTCCACAGGCGTAGTACAAAATAATCCCGTGCCACTAAGAAAAAGAAATGCCCTCAGTGACCAAAAATCAAGACCAAAATTATTCTCTCATATGTCGTTCTCAACCGTTGGACATCTCTGTAACGTCGTTGTGACGAATTTTGCGAAAAGATTTTGGCCTGCATACTTAAAAGATCAAAATGACGCAAAAACTGAACCCGCTTGACCGCCAGAATCGTCGAATGTTCATGAATTGGAAAAATCATCTTCAGCGATGAACTTCATTTATGGCTGAAGGGCTTCATCAATAAGCAAAATATGTGTTACTGATCAGCTAGCAATTCACACGCACACCGTGAGTCACCATTGCATCCCGAAAAAATTACGGATTGGTGTGGCGGCGGCCTCAATGGGCCGTAATTCAAGACCGGCATGTTACTGTCAATGGGAATCGCTGTCGCTTTGACTTTTTGGCCCGAAGTGGACTTGAACAATATGATCACAATCGAGTTATAAGAAACCAAGTTTGGTGAATGTCTTATCTCATGAAATCTCAGATCTCAGTCCTCGATTGTGCGAATTGACGCAGTTAGACTATTTCCCAGCAACGAATGATGAACTTAGTACGAATACAGAGCGTGAAATTGCAGCAGTATCGGTTGATTTATGCTTGAAAGCCGTCGAAAATCGGGTTCAGCGTCTGGACTTCTGCAAGTGTTTTTCTTTTATTTAAAAATACTTTTGTATCACTCCTATTGAAAAACCTGATATAAGTAATCGCTTATATGTCGCCACCACTCAATCAGCTAGAGGACAACTTCATAGAATTAAAAACAAAATTATTTGCTTATCGTCATCGTAACTGAGTGGGTTGACTACGAAACTTGCACAGAATGACATCGTTTCTATTCCCGTCCCCGTCATAAAGTAAAATTACATAAAAAGTTTGTGATAACTGCGATTATTGATCCTAGATTCGGGCAACAAATGAATTTTTCGTCATCTGGAATTGAAGTCCTCTAGAATATTCCTTAGAACTAACTAATGATTTTCTCGGCTCAATATCTACCAAAATTAAAAAAATCAGATGAGAGAGTCGATTACTCACCTCCTTCCAGTTGGGCTCCGTTTTCGCCAGCACCAACCAATCGATCTTCAGATCGTAGATGGAACCGCATATCGTGTCGCATTGAAATTGACACGGCCGCAACGGTATCAGGCCGTCCTCGCACACCGTACACGGAATACATTTGTCCTTTAGCGGGTCCCACCAGCTGTTCCGGTCGCAGGGTGAGGCAGCGCAAAAGGAACACAGCGTGGCGAGCAGCAGCAAAGCTGTGATGTAGGTGAACGCCGTCGAAGAACTACTTAAGCTTTGCGCAATCACATTGTACACTTGTATTGCGGGTGAGCTTAGCATTGTTGTTGTTGTTGTTTTACTTAGGTTTCTATTARTGCTGCTGCTAGTATTAATATTGTTATTGTTACTCATATAGCTGTTGCTATTGTTGTTGTTATGATCATAATAATCAGCGTCAGGTAGCGC